CACAGCCAGCGGGAAAACGGAGGCTTAGGGACAGGAGCAGCCAATGAGACACTGGAACCGGGGGTCCAGGGCTCCAGAGCTCAGCTTGTCATCATTGTGTCCCAGCTGTCCTTGCTGCTGTTTCGGTCATCCTTCCAGGCCAGTGAGTCCTACCCCCGCCCCCCACGTCCAGTCCCCACCCCACCCACTGTCCCCAAAGGCTGTTATCTCCTGAGCACACTGCAGGTGCAGGGGAGGTTGGAGAGGCACAGATGGTGTACAGTTGAGGGGTGCTGGTGGCAGGGTGGTGGCAGGGTGGGGCCAAGCTGCCTCGGTGGGCATGTGGTACCTCTCGGGGCCCTACTGGCCGGGCCAAGGGTCAGGCTGGCCGGCTGGCTAGACCGTCCCAGTTAGTGATGGCTGTTTGGGGTTTTGTTGTTTTAAACATGAATCATGTACCAGGCACCTTTGTTCCGATCACAGACAGTCCCCTGGGACCCTCGCTCTAGCCCTCTGGTTTTATCAATAGGAAACCAGCTCAGAGGGTGGGCGGGACTGGCCTGAGGTCACGTAGCCGGTCAGAGGCTGAGCTGGCCATCCCTCCAGGCCTTCCAAACCTGCCCTGTGGAATGTTGATGTTGGATGAACAGCCTGACCGCATGGATACCCCCTCTCTTGTAGGAAGCACCCAGGTGCACCTGTGCAGACAGATGGAGTTAGGGGCCGACAACAGGGAGGGTGGGGCCCAGAGGGTCGGCTTGCTGTGTCATATTTGTCCTGAGGCGCCATCCTGGGGACTCTGCTGACTGCTTGTGTGACCAGGAAACTGCAGCACTCCCCCACGCCGGGCCTCAGTTTCCCCGTCCACAACATGCCTTGGCCTCTTGGCTCCAGGGACTCTCTGGCACTGCGGAGGCCCTTTGTCCCCCACGCTGAGGAGGCTGGGAGCAGGGATGGGTGCGGGGGGCAGGAAGGGCTAAACCCTTCTCTCAAGTCACTGCCTGGCCAAGAGGTTCACTCAGGCCCCCTCACTCTGTGCCCCCTGGAAGCTGGTTTCTAGGGAAAGCCCTGCTCTCCGAAGGAAGAAGACACCCCTTCCCTCATCCCCTCAGGCCTGCCCCTGTCTGCTCCTGCCAGCCCAGGCTGTGCTGCAGGCCAAGCTGTGTTCTCCCAGGGCTCTGAGCTGCAATGCCCCGCAGGACCCAGGGGGAGGCCACCTGCCCCACAGCTGGAATTGTTATCGGCTCCTGGGAGAGTCCCCATCATACCCTGTGTCTCCGAACCCTGGATGGATGTGAACCTCAGAACTAGGCCCATCCCTCTGGGGTTGCAGCCCTGCTCCCCATAGAGACGCCTGGGGTGGGGTGGGGGGTTGCTCAAGAGGGGCCGCAGGGCCTGGTGAAGGGGGACAAGGCTGGGGCCAGCCCTCCAGCACCTTCAGCCAGGGCAGCTGCCTTTCCCAGTCACGTACTGGGCTTGGAATGCAAGATTTCATGGAAAAGCCACGTTGGGGCTGCTCCTGTCACGGAAGCTGGGGCCCAGGAGGCCAGGGGCCTGCTTGCTGTCACGGAGCCATCCTGGCCAGACTTGGGCCTCCTAATGACCAGGCGGGCAGGCGCCAACTTGGCTTCTCCTGGGCAGAGCAGGGGCCACGCTCCTCACTCAAGGACTGCACGCCCTGCTCTCCGGGGAAATCCCTCCGCCGGAGGCCCGAGCACCTCGATTTGCCAAAGCCGTAAATCTCCGAGGCGAGGCTTTCAGCGGCCCCTTGGCATCTCCCGAGCGTCTCTCGATGAGAACTGCAGCTGTGAGTCCCTTTCAAGAAGCGAGCCCACTCCTGCATTTCCCATCGTGTTTGCACCTAAGGATGCCATCACTGTTTCCTCCCATTGTCTCCCTGGCCGGCCGGCCGGGTTCCTTCGCTTGCTCCCGGCTGACTGACGCAGGCCCCTGCCGCCCGGCGAACACGAGGCTGTGGGATCAGGAAGAGCTGAGGACTTCTGAGAGCTGCTGGGTGGCCCGTGGCCAGCGATGCTTATCGCTGCCCCAAGGCGCCTTTGAGGTTATTTTCTTCTCTCTGAAGATGCTTGGATAGGCCTCCGGGAGCATTTCCATCAATTCTTCAATCTGAGGCCCCCGCCAGTTGAATACCGCACCATTAGTCACCCCCAGCTGTCCCCTTCCCCTGCCCTGCCCCAGGACTGAGCCCAGAGGACCCCTGAGGATCCCCACCCCGGCTATCAGCCTGACCCCTGCGATGGCCACCTCACTGGACTTCTCGCATGGACCACAGCCCTCCATCTGGCCACGGATATTAAAAACCCACAAGAAAGCATTTTCCCCATGAGGGTCAGGGAGCTGGAGTCTCTACAGCCGCCTGAGAAGGGGGGCAGAGGGGGGACGGCATGGTGTGCGTCTCAGGTTAGCAGGCTCACGGCAGGATCTGAGATTAAAAGCATACATCAAGACCACCTTTCTCTTCTCTTTCACAACGAGCAAACATGAAAGACGCAATTACAAGTCCTTCCCAGCCCTGGGCCACCGGGGATGTGGCGAGGATAGCAGTAAGGATCCCCAACCTTGCACAGAGCTGGGGGGCAACGGGGGTGGGGGAGAGGCAGGGAGCACGGCTCTGAAAGTCAGCTTCTTCTCTCTTTCCCGAACTGGTTCCCACCTCCACGAAACAGGGAGTCATGCCCATTCCGCGAGGCCATTGGGGGGTTGAGATCTCTACCCCCCTGACCGACCACCGAGCCTGTCTGCCCTTGCCTGGTCCTGCCGTGGTGGCTCCTGTGTTGCTGTGATACCAGAAGCCAGGTCGCTGGTATTTCAGATACCGGCAGGGTCGCCGGTGGCGAACAGGCTTCAGCAGAGCTTCCAGGCTAAGTCCAGACTGGGAAGGAGGAAGGTGGGGGTCTGCTTCTGAGGGACAAGCCCCGAGGGCCTAAGGTATAGCAGCGGGACCACATCTGATAAGAGCTAAAGGCCCTCCTGGTGCCAGGTACTTGCAGGTCACCCGCTGCGGTTGCTTTGACCTCAAGGGCATGGATGGAGCCAAGCCACCAGGATCTTCCCGTGGCTGCCAGGGTGTGACTCCACACCAGAAGGAACAGCTGCAGACACCCCTCAATAACTGGGGGGGCGTGGCATGTCCCTGTGATCAGGGGAGCGCAGTCCCTGGACAAGGACCTCGTGCTGGGGGAAGTGGACGTGCAGTGGACCAAGAGGAAGGCCCTCCACAAGACGGGTGGACACCCCAGGCGCAGGGGTGACCATGAGGACCGCACGGGGCCGGGCCTGTGTCGTCGGGTTGTGTGCGTGGTCAGTCACGGTGGGTCCGAGCTGACTCTGTGCCACCCGGCAGCAGCACCAGGCATGTGTGCTAGCCAGGGCGGTCCCTTCTCTGTCCCGAGCCTGCTGTTTGCCCCTGGAAAGATTCCCGGTCTTGGGAACCTCAATACAGGGTGGTGGTGGTGGTGACAAGTTGCAATCAATCAACCTGATGATAGTTCCTCCTCCTCCGTCTTTCAAAGTCTTGCAGGGGGGCTGATTCGCTGCTGGTGCACCTCACCCCGGATCTGTCGGCGGCGGGGGGGTTGCGCATTGCTGTGGGGTTGAATCTATGTGATCTCAGCCATGCCAGCCCTTACTCCGTTTCCTCAGAAGCAGCAGCTAGCTCCGCAGGCACAGGGCTCCTTTAAAGTGTTGCCGTCTTCTTGAGGACCGCGGCACACCTCGCTCGAGCCTTGGTGTGGTTACTCGCCTCTCAGGCACGTGGATGCTGGGTAACGCACCGGGAAGACCCCAGAAGCCTCGATGCGTTTGAATTTCGGAGCTGGCAAAGGGCCCGCAGCGGTACTGTGGCCTGCCGGAGGAACAAGCCTGTCCGGGAGGAAGTACAGCCAGCACGCGTCTTAGGAGGGAGCGTGGGGAGAGTCTCTTGTTGTGGTCAGGAGAGGCCAGTCCACAAGGAAACAGAGGGTCCACAAGAAAAAGTAAAAGAGGAAGACCTTCCCGGGATGGATGGACGCAGGGGCTGGAACAAGGGGCCCAAGCGTAGCAACAGATTTGAGGGGGCACAGGGCTGGGCAGCGTTCCGATCTGTTGTCGTCCGGAAGGATGCTGAGTGCATGATAGCGAGGCTACTAGGTTAAGTGGATTGGCGAAGAGGGCCTAGCAATCTACTATGGCACTGAGCCAGTGACGACTCTATGGGTCCCCACGGATCTCTGGTCAATCCGCCCCCCACCCCACCCCACCCCCGTCCTGGGATGACTACAGGGTGGCCTTCTCTCCCACGGGGAGTGGGGCCTGGCTCTACGGTCTCGAGCAATCCAAACAAAATGAACAGTGTACCGAGTTGCAATGGTCACAGTAACACGATGGTAGGGGAAGTGTTGGAAGTTCAGGGAAGGCTTTTGGATTCCTGGTGTCATCCCTTCTCATGTGACAGGGCCACCCCCGAGCCCTAGGAATCCTTCCTAAGTGGCAAACCTGCTCCAATGGGGTGGGGTCACAGTGGTAGCTCAGGGCGGGGAGCACAGGCCTCAGACTGCCCCCTGCCTGCAGCTCCATTGCCCCATGGGTACTGTGCCTGGAACAAAGGCTGCCCCTTTACAACCCAGGAGTCTTTTGAGACCCTTGCTCTCATTGAGAAGACTTGGAAGTAGAGGCCCAAAGATGGGAGGGGCTGCACCGATCCCCACCAGTCTCCACTAGCTGAGTCAGCTGGGGTGTGACTGCCAGACATTGTCCCTGCCCGCCCCCACATCAGGGTCCCCTCTTTAGGGTCTGCAGAGGGCCTGACAAATTAGGCGTGGAGGCTGCAGAAACCAATGGGGGCTGCAGAAACCCAGAGTTGGACCCCAGGTGCTCTGGGCAGGGGACTCCTCTCTGGAGGCTACAGACTCAGAACCCCCAGGTGCCCTCCAAATCCAGGACCCAAGGGTCACCCAGAAATAGGCCAGCCCATCTGGAACCAGGCAGAAAAATGCTAACACAGCCTCTTCCATGCCTTCCAGAGTTCGCCAGGACTTCGACGTCCCCACCAACCATCTGATTGGGGCCCACGGATACTGCACTCAGGTACGGGCACCATGGCCAGGCCAGGTGGTTGGCCTTCCCTTTCACCTCCCTCTGCCCTTTTCCTGGCTCCCAGCCAGGCCAGCCTTTCCAAGCAGTTGCCATATGCCTGGCTTGGCTTCCCTGGCAGGGAGAACCAGGAAGAATCCAGCCACGCCTTCCTTTCTGCAATGGGTGCTGCACCCAGCCAGGGCTGGAAGCTGTGCAGCCCCAAGTGCAGGAAGCAGGCCGGGGAGTTCCGGCCATGGCAAGATGGTGGCGGTGGTAGTGGTGGCCCTCCCGGCTGCACGGTGGCCGAGTATTCCCAGTCCCTTTGTAGGTGGGCCCCCAAGGGGCCTTGCCAGGCGCCCATCCTCGAGCTCCCGTTCACTTAGCTCACACCAGGGACGGGCCCTGTTCTAGCAGCAGGACCAGGAGCCAACACCCCATGCCTACCCCAGGCTCAGTCCTCTCCCGAGATGGCAAGGCCTCCCAAAGTGGCCCCCACGGACCCCCGGCAACCCTCACCCTTGGCTGTTGAGTTGATGCTGCCCCCTGTGACTGCCAGTCACTCTGCAGAGCTATCCTCCAGAGCATTGCTTGGCTGAAATGGTACTCAAGTCGGTTGCCAGGCCTTTCCTGGGTGGATTTGAACCGCCAACTTGCTGGTTAGCACCAGAAAGCAAACCATTTGTGCCCCACCACCACCCAGAGGCCTCTTCAGGGACTGGCAGGCATTAGGGGTGGGGCAGGGAAAAATGTGTAGCACGCACAGGCTGGACCCCACTGCTCACCCTGCTGGGCTTCATTGTCCTGTGAGCCCTGGCTCACCCGAGAGCCCCGTGATGCCAGCTGGGCTGAAGGGTGAGTGGCCACCCTCTGACTGCCCAGCTCACGGGGCTCTCACTGTGCATGGCAGCCTCCCCTGTGGGAGCACCCCTTTCTGTTATGGGAGACTGGTGGGCAGCTGAGTGAGTCCGTGGCAGGACCGCTCGGGGCAGCTTCTTTTCCCCTTTTCTAGAGGCATCTGGGCTAGACCCATGTATCTGAAAGGTTGCTGTGCACACAGATGCCCTGAGGGTCTTGCTGCTGAGCTGGTTGTGATGTAGTGAGCTGGGCTGAGGCTGGGGGTCTACCTTTCTCACCAGGTTCCCCATGAGGGTGGAGCCTTGTCCCTGTCCCTGCATTAAATTCTGAGTCGTGAGGATCTGACTTGCCCCAGACCTCTGCATCCAGGCCAGGGAGGGGCTCATAGCTTGCTCTCCCCACCCTTGAGCGCAGGTTTTATTCTGAGAGCGGGGCTTGAGTCCTTTCTGTCCCTGAAAGCCAGATTGGGGGTGGTCTCTCGCATACCTCAAAAAGGTTCTCTACCTTGCTCAGCACCAACTGCCCCCAGAATGTCAGTATCTCTGAGCAAACATTTCCTCCAAATTATTTTCTCATTTCCTCTGCCAGGGACACAATGGGACCCACCTCCAAAATCCCCCTCCCACGGCAGTCCTTTCTTGGGGCCCCTTTACTGTCACTGGAGCAGGGGTGTTGGTGTCCAAGGGTCTATTTGCCCTGGTCTATTTCCTCACAGCCAGGGAAAAACATGCCCATAAACTCCACCAGCCTCCGGAGTGAATACTGGGGAAAGGGTGACCGCGGCTGTCCCCATGAGCCCTGTCACACACAGCATCTGAGACTGGTCAGTTCTGCTCCATGCTAGCTGTGTGCGTAGCTTGAGGAGTCCTGACATTCCCCATTCATGCTAGGAGACTGGGCCCCCAGATGCCCAGCTGAAGGGCCCTTCCAGCCCCACCTGTCCACTCCTGACACAGGAGGTACTGGGTAGTAAAGGGGTCCACAAGAAAGCAGGCCTGGCGTTCTCATGTCTATGGGTCAGGGGCTGGCTGCCTGCTCGCAGGTGAGGTCTGAGTCATGGGGAGCCGTGGCACCCAGTGCCACTCCTCAGTGGGGGTGGAGGGGGGCTGCATCAGCAGCTCAGACCGGTCATGGGCTTTCCAGACACACACCCCTCTCTGCCCACGCTATTCCTGCCTCCTGAAATGCTGTCCTCTGCTCTCCGTCCCCTGTCCCCAGTCTCTGGTGAAGTCCCTGTGAGCGAGGCCCAGGGTTCAGTTAATGGCATTGTCCCCTTGTCAGTTTCCTGGTTTGGACAATGTGTTCGTGTTATGTAAGATGTTATCAATGGGGGAAGCTGGGGGAGGGTACGTGGGAACTCACTGTACTATTTTTACTCCTTCTTAGCACTCTAAAATTGCTCCAAAATTAAAACTTTGCCTACTGTGCGTGCACACACACACACACACACACACACACACACACACACACACCCCGGTCCTCAGATCCCCTTCCTTACACAGCTGCTCGGACTGGGTGGTGAGGTGATGAGGTGTGTGCCCCTCCAAACCCCAGAGCACCCCACACACACAGACTGGCACCCCCCTCCACACACCAGTGTTGGTGTTGGCTGTGGGGCACAGGCCTGCTCCCTGATACCCGTTCTGGGCTGGTGAGATCCCAGAGGACCCTCTAGAGCGGCGCCGGCGGCATCCTTTCAAGGCTGCTGGGAAAATTGAGGTCGCAGGCTCCTCTGATTCTAACCCTGCGTTCCTTCCTCCTCCACCCTCTCACGCCCCACCAAGCCCTTGTACCCGATCCTGAGACCTTTCTCTCACCCACAGGAACTTGTCAACCTGCTCCTGACCGGCAGAGCCGTGTCCAATGTGTTCAACGACGTGGTGCAGCTGGACTCTGGGGACGGGCACGTCACGCTGCTCAAAGGCATCGCCGCCCGCAGCGACGTGGGCTTCTTGTCTCTGTTTGAACACTACAGTGTGTGCCAGGTACCCGACCCCAGGCTGAGGGCCCGGGCCTGCAAGGCTAACCTTGGGCACCCCAAGCCAGGCAGCACCAGAGCCCAACTCTGACCCACAGAGCATTTGGAAAGCAGAGTTGCACTGCCACCCAGCCTGGGCACGTAATTCGGACCCGGAACCAGCTGGTCCCACTCTGGAAAAGCTCCTCTACAAGGGGCTTCCAGGAACTTGGAGTATGTGGTGGGTCACGGTGGCTGCAACTGCCATGCCCTAGTGTGTGTGTGTGTGTGTGTGTGTGTGTGTGTGTGAACATGTATATATGTATATGACTGGGTTTGCTTGTGTGTATAGGCACATATGCATGTGTATGTGAACATGTATGTATGTGACTGTGTGTATGCTTGTGCATGTATGTGAACATGTGTGTATGATTATGACTTTGCTTGTGTGTGTATGCATGTGTGTGAACATGTCTGTATGTATGTGATTGTGTGTATGGACTTGTAGGCATGTGTGTGAACAGGTCTGTATGTATATGACTGTATGTGTGTGTGATGTGTACATGTGAGTAAGCACGTGTGTGAGTGTGGATCATGTGTGGGAGCGTTGGGCAGTGGGGTCTTCTCCAGGGGCAGGGGATGCGAGGCCATAGGTCCCACTTGGTCTGTGGGCTGCAGTGCCATCTCGACTTATGTTTGCCCTGCAGCCAGGATATGGGGAGGGCAGGGCCCCTAGGGAAGCTGGCCCACTGGGGACTGGGTGACTGTTTCCTGGAGGACATGGTCAGCTGGCCAGGGGAGCCCTGGGACCTTCAGTACTTGTCCCTATCCACACCTGTCCACACTGAACCGCTGAGCCTGGGCTGTGCCTTTCCCAGACTCTGGGCTCCTGGGAGCTGCTGTTCTGTGGTTGCTCCAATGGAATGGACTCTCCTGTGAGGAGAGCAAGTCCTTCCGGATTCCTGGGGTGTGGGGCGCCCATGGATGGCCACAGGTTGATACTTGCTCCCCCCCTTCACTGGTGGGCCCAGCAAGGTGGCCCCATCCTGAGATCTCCTCCATGAGAGCAAGGCCGGTAGGAAAGCTGGAGAGGCGGGCCCCTCCCGGATGCTCTGGTGTCTGCAGGGAGCCCAGGAACACAGCCACGCGGCTGGTGGGAATCTCCCGAGCTCCCGGCCTCAGACCCTGGGTGGGTTCCAAAAGTATCCAGCCCTGAGATTCCTCAGGTTGAGGGAGATAACCTTGGCCAGGCGCATGGAATCCAAGGCTCACTTCAAGCCCTGGCCTCAGTCTTGGGTGGAGTGTGTTGGTGAAGAAGTGAACTGTTTGTATTTGGCCCCTTGAGGGTGATTGTTGGGAAAACCACGTAGGTGGTTTTCTACACCCTAGGATGCAGAAGAAAGTCAAGTTCTTCCATGTCCTCTGTCTCTGGGGGAACCCCAAGGATCCAGGTGGGACTCCTTTTCCTGTTAATGATAATGGGATGTGGGGTGGGGGGTGGCAGCAAAGGGGCTCCTCTCCTTTGCAATAGGGAGCTTCTGACAGAAGGTGCCCGAGTAGTTACCTCTGCTCTCACGAGTTCAAGCAGGGCCCTGCAGCTCAGACAAGGAGTGCTTCTGCCCCATTAAGGTCTCTTGCTGACCCTTCTGCCCGCCAAGTCCTCTTGGATGGAGAGAGAATCCCAGGGGTGTCGGTGCCCAAGCCTGGACTTGGAGTCAGAGATGGCCCCATGTGGGTGTCTCCCCGGGTAGCACACAGGACTGCAGGACAGCAAGATGCCAACTGCCTGGCTGTTCTTATATGGCTGGGCCTCCTACCCCTTCAGGAGGCTGAGCTGGACTGCCTCTGTCTGGCAGCTTGCCTCCACTTCTCACTGCTGCTCCTGTAGCGAACGGGTATGGGGGCATGAGGGGCGGTAGGGCCTGCCTGCTGGAGAGCTTGCCAGATACCCCACATCCTGGCATACCTGGGGGAGGCAGAGGCTGGCTGTGTTCTCTGGGCTCCCCATAGGCCCTCAACGACTGATCTGACCTTGTTCATCAGGCTCCCACCACACCCCTACACCCTAGAGCTAGCCGCTGGATCAGGCTGGTTGCTCTGGGTCTGGTATGGGGCCTGTCAGGCCCAGGAGGGGTAGGGTATGGTTGAGGATCCCGCACTTCCTCCATCACGGCCACCTTCCTGAGAGCGCCCCAGGAAGGCCGAGCTTGACCATGAGCATCTAAACCCTCCACCCTCTCCTCTGCTCCTCCTTCCCCACTCAGCTTGGGGGACCGTCCACCTCCTCCCACAAACCAGGAGCACATCTGTCCTGGCACTAGGGTGCTCAGTCATTCCGTCATTCCAACCTGAATGGTTTCTCAAGTTTGCCTCTTTCCCACGTCTGACCTAAGTCACCCGTGTAGCTGGTCCCCTGCTTCTGCCCTCACCCCCTTCCTACCCTGCATCTTCCCCAAAGCCTGTGTGGTCTGGTGAAACACAGAGGCCAGGGTCTATCTATTCTCTGCTAAGCCCCCCCGGCCCCCCACCATGGGTTTCCAGTTCTCTAGGACGAAAGCCCAAGGCTCTTCCCCGGCCCACAGGCACCCCCAAGACCTTCCCTCACTCTCTGCTCGCTCCTCAGTTCATGCCACTTTCCCTCTAGGGCTATGGGCCTCCACCCTGCTTGTCCACGCCTAGGTTTGTCCAGACCCCAGGGCCTTTGCACATGCTGTTCCCTCCCCCTGAAGTCCTAGTTTGTCTCAAAGGTTGCACCCTTACTTCCTAAGAGGGGCCTTTCCTATCCTAACTGCACTGTCTTTTGAGGTGATCTCTTATGTCTCCCTAGCCCCCAACGCACCTAGTCGTTCTCAATCATAATATCCCTATTCGCTCCTTCAGAGCCACTCTTTAATCTTAAGTACCACATCTCCTTGTTCTTAAGACACAAACATTTCATTCAACATTTATGAAACACTAAGTAAGTGCATATATGTGTACATGTATATACATACACACACTGATCTCAAAACCTTCCCCCTTACTTCCGCATCGTCTTTACGTGAGCGTTCCGTGGCTTCCTCTGCAGTGACCTTCCTCACTGCATGGCACTAATGGTCTTCCTCCCTCTGTGGCTTCAGTGACCTTCCTCGTGTTGCACAGCCACCACCTCTCTCTGGGTTCCGTGTTTTGTCACCCGCAGGACTACAGTGGGTGGTGTGTCAGCGTCTAACTGGCAGCTTGCTCAGTGACATACAAACCTGCGGGGCGTGGCATCTGCTGGCGCCTTCGACTCAGTGGCTGTCTTTCCCCTTCATGGTTGATGTTTGCATGATGGAACCATGTTATCTGTAGAGAGGACAGACTGTCCCTGCAGGGCGTCCGAGGCTGATTCTATTCCATGCAGGCCTCCACCCTGGCCGGGCCCCCAAGTGGTTCAGGTGGTGAACTTGCTCAGCTGCTAAGTGAAAATTAGAGGCTCGGGTGCAATCAGAGGCACCTGAGCAGAAATAGCTGGCAGTCGACTAATAAAAATCCAGCCACTCAGGAAATCCAAGGGAGCAGAGCTCTCCTCGGACAGGCGTGGGGTCACTGGGAGTCAGGGCTGACCCGACAGCAGCTGGATTTTAGAAATCTGGCAGTCAGCCTACGGCTGGCTTTGGGGTTTTCACCACTTCCCAGCCCCAGAGAATGATATGGATTGCTGTCATGGATTGAATCGTGCCCGCCCAAATTGCATGTCAACTTGGCTAGGCCGTGGTTCCCACTGTTACGTAGTTGGCCTCTGGCTTGTGATCTGATGTAATTGCCCTCCATTTGGGGATGTGTTGTAGACCCTAACCCCTATAGGCGAATGAGGCCAGATTATGGTGGGGTACATCCTGAATCACCACCTTACAAGAGGGCGTGACTCAGGTTACACCCCTACCGACGCTCTCCCCTCACTTAAGACACTGCCCTGGCTTGAGCCGCACCCTTTATCTTAGGAGAGATGAAGGGAGAGAGGAGTGAGCAGGGAGTAGAGGGGCCTCACTACCACCAAGGAAGACACACAGGGAAGAGAACATACCCTTGGGACTTGGAGTCTTTGTGCTGAGAACCTCCTAGACCCAGGCCAAGTCATACGGAGATCTCTGTGGAGCCAGCAGAGGCTGAGGGAACAGGGACCTCCCCCCAGAGGCAACAGCGAGAGGAGGCCTTTCTCTAGAGCCACTGCCTGGACTCTGACTTCTAGCTTCGTTCACTCACTCACTCACTCACTCACTCACTCACTCACTCTCTCATTCTCTCCCATCAAGTCAATTCTGACTCACAAGGACCCTACAGGACAGACTAGAGCCACCCCTGCAGGGTTCTGAGACCGGAACTCTCTGCTGGAGTAGAAACCTTCCTCTTTCTCCCTAGCGGTGGCTGGCGGTTTCGAACCGGCGACTTTATGGTTAAGCAGCAGCGCAAAGCGTAACCCACTACGCGACCTGGGTTCCTGCTGTGAGAAAGTACATGGTTGTTTGTTCTTCCAGCAGCACTAGATAACTGAGATGGTCACTGTTTAAAAGCAAGTCCCTGACTGTGTTCTGAGTTGACCCCCCAGGAGAAAGCCTTGGATTGTGATGGAGGCAACGTGCCCCACCCAGCCCCACGCCTGGAGCCTCCAACCCAAGCATCCGAAGGAAGCAAAGCTCCTTGCTGGAAGGGGTCTCCTGGAGGAGGAAGCCCGTTCATAAACTCTCCGGGCAGCCTGCGGGCCCTTCATCTCTCCAGCCTTGTGTGGGTGGCAAGCTGCCCTTTGGTCCCTCAGCTGGAAAATTCGGGGCGGCTGATTAGGCAAATACCCACGCCCCACTTGGCTTCCAGGCTCTTTTTCCTGCACCAAACGAGCCCCGGGGTCCCCAGTCACGGAGGCGTCCTGTTCCAGGCGATGCCCGCATCAGAAAAGCCTCTTGTGAGCATGGAACAGAAGCCAAGTTTTCCCTGGGGGGCCTGGGCACGTCCAGCCATGTCCTTTCAGACATCTAATTCCCCCACGTCCTACTGGGGAGCCAGGTTTCCAGGCTCCTCCATCATCGCAGGGGCCTCTGGAGATAGGGCGCAGCCCTGGACACTACAGATCGGAACATTAGGGACCACAGTGGGTGCAGGGCTTGGCCAGGGCCACGCAGTGCCAACACCACCCTGGGCATGACAGGGAGGGGGCACTTGGACCACGAGAGAATGATGAGCCTCCTCCCGTGTCTCCCCTGTGGGCGGAGCGGATTTTAGGACCTTCTGACCCTCTGTCCAAATCCTCCCCAGCGCAGAGAGAGCCCTAAGAGGCCTTCTCCTCTGTGACGGGTTCCAGTCAAAGACAAAAGCAAAACAAAACCTATGCCCTTCTCCCCACTGGAAAAATAATTCCCATTCTTTCTTTAATCCATGGGCTGAGGCTGCAAATACCTGAGCATGCAAGCATCTCACTGGGGCTGGTGGGGATTAGGCCCGGAAGCAGCCTGGCCCACGGCACGTACATCGCTGAATAAAGCAGGGCCTGGGTGGGGAGAGTGCTGGGAGCAGGAGGGTGCAGAAGGCAGGCCGGCCCCAGCCAAGCTCCCAAGCCCAAGCCCAAGCCGGAGGCCAAGTGCTCTCGACACACTGAGAGTCCTGAGGCTGGCACCGTGAGCAGCCAGCTCTCCAAACATCTCTTTACCTGCAGGAAGCCCCTGCTTGAAGCTTTCCCAAGGAATCCGTCACTCGCACAACTTTCCTGTAGGCATTGACTTGTCCTCACTGCTCTGTCCCCCTTTCCCGTTAGCCCTACAGTCACCTGAACTTTGGAAACACCACCCTGGCACAGCAACATCCCCCCACAAATAGCCAACCCACAGATACTTGCTCTGAAGCACTCCTACCTTCTCCCCAGAGCCCCAAGTCCTCCTTGCCCTTCAAGGAACAGTTCTAGGTCAAGTTCTACTTTACCCACAAGTACCGCCATCCCCCGAATCAGTTTTTGTCTCCACTCTACTCTCGGTACTAAGGATAGAGTCTCATGTGCAACATGCAGGTAAATGTGCCACCGCGAGGCGGAATGATGCACTGTGGGCGGTCAAGAGACCGTGCCTGCTGGGAGATGGAGGAGGAGCACCATGATGTTCCCCAATGGGGTAATGCATTGGGCAAGTCGGGCGGTGCTCTGGCACAGTGGACAGCAAGCTCAAGGCCTGCAGGCTCCAGTGTTGGAGTGAGTCTGAGGACTTTGGGAACGGCTCCGGGTGGGGAGAGCAGAGGAAGGGCTAGTCAGGAAATCACAGTGATGGAGCCAGTGAGGCGAAGAGGGAGTTTTCAGAGGCCATGCTGACCGCCCTGGGGATGTGGGAGAGGAAGAACAGGATCAGGTTGGCTTTCTCTGTCTGCACATCACAGACATCCCCCCACCCCCCCACCCCCCGTGCCCAGCAGAGGCTGAGCCGTTTGGGACCATGGGCTATTTTAGGGGTCCCCCCCCCCCGACATAACACACACGGGCCATGGTCCACACTGATGGCCTCTCCGAGTCCTCTCTGCCCTGGCCCCTTTCTCTAGGCACGTCCCATGACATCTGGCATCTCTGTCCACACCTCCACCCGTGCAGGTCGGCTGCTTCCTGAAGACCCCGAAGTTCCCCATCTGGGTGGTGTGCAGCGAGAGCCATTTCAGCGTCCTCTTCGGCCTACAGCCCGAGCTTCTGCGGGACTGGCGGGCCGAGCGGCTCTTTGATCTGTACTATTACGACGGCCTCGCCAACCAGCAGGAGCAGATCCGGCTGACCATCGGTGGGCGCCTCCTGGGTCAGGGCTGGCCGGGGCCGTGGAGGGCAAATGCCAGCTGGGTTCCCTGGAGCCGGGCTCTTTGCAATGGAGGGAGTTCTGAGTGGACAGTGACGTCGAACCCACATGGGGACGATCCCTGAAGACTAGGCTATTCTTGGGGACTAGGGAGTCATGGAAGGTTTGGGGAGCAGGGGAGCATATAGAGGACCACTTGGGCTCTGAAGGAGGTGCTGGGGCTGTGCTGGAGACTGGAGGAGGCTGTGTTCCTGGGGCAGGTGGGGAGGGGGTAGTGTCAGGGAGCCTGGACTGAGGGTAGATCCCGGGG